AGTTGATTCACAAACATGAACACGGAAATTAACCTAGCTGAATTTAGAATATACACACAAAAGACAATCGGGTAACAGAAAATTATATAAAAATTCGACCTACAACGAGAGAAGTAGATTCCCTTGCGCCTTCGCAAGAAGATCGAACGTTCGAATAAAGACCCGAAACCACATACCTTCAGCTGACGCAAATTTAACGGAGTACTGAAGTGAATAAACAATTATTTTACGTGTGTGTGTATGTGCGTGTCTATATATATATATATATGTGTGTGTGTGTGTGTGTGTGTGTCAATATTTCTGTGATGAGGTATTGTAACTATTTACACTATTTACATTGTCCGGACTCTTCTCCTCATCTTTATTGCCATCAAAACGACGTTTCTTCAGGTGATAGTTATTGGAATTTCGAACCGAGCCCTTTATTCAGTCCGAGTGGATAGACCAAACTGAGATATCCAAAAGCATGGCATATGGCATTAGAACAATCTAGCCCCGTGGGCTATATAAGTTTTCGGTTCAAATTTCCAACAAATATCACCTGAAGAAAGCCGGAGGGTACAACAGCCGAAACGCCGTGAACATGCCAATAACGATGAGGACAATATTCCAAACAATGTAATGTTTACTGAACAACATTCATATGGAACTGTTTATGGTGGTCAATTTTCCCCACCCTGCAGTGCACAGTCACTCTATCATAGTACCATGTCCTGTACTGGGGCATCGTGTGCCACATGATGAGGTTACCATCGCAGGCATTTTTTTTTTTTTTGGATAGGAGTTTCTGTTGTGGAGTAGCTGTACACCACCACAAGATGGACTTGTCTAAGACTGTTTAAACAGCACTTTTAATGAGCGATAGCATTTACCGATTAGAGTTCCTTAAAGCTCTGCTAGTCGATCTCTGCCTTCAACTTTATGTCTACGGACAGAGACTCGGCTGGGGTGATAGACAGCTGCCCGACCCCGTCTATGCGGGGTCCATGAGGAATTTTTTCCCGAGCGTACGCGCTCGGAAAATCTACCGTTAAAACCAGTCTTGTGTCACATCCGCCTCGTGGGGTAGGTTTCGGGTAAATACGTATGAGTTAACGATGGGAAGGTAGACAGCTACCCGACCCCGTGTATATGGAGTCTACGGACAATTTCAGAACGCCTCATATAAGATAACCTGTCTTATGCCACACCCCGTCTTCGGGGTAGGTCTCGGGTAAATACGTATGAGTTAACGATGAACACTTGGAGCTTGTCGACTTCTCTGTATCCGGGCAGAGAGCAACTGAGACGAGGCTATGTATACGGACAGAGTCTCGTCTGGGAAGGTAGACAGCTACCCGACCCCGTGTATATGGAGTCTACGGGTAATTTCTGAACGCCCCATATAAAATAACCGGTCTTGAGCGACATCCCGTCTTGGACGTACGTCTCGGGAAAATAACGAGGTGTTAACGATTAACCTTTTATTACAGTAGGGTGCTCTCAAACGTGTACTATATTAACCAAGACTTTGCGAACCTAGTCTACGTAACTGTTTCACGCATATTGGAGATACGGATTCTTGCCTTTTCCAAGAGCATTAGTGCGAAATGAATAGAGTCTCTGTTCGAATCTGATCTAATGCAAGATTTGAGTAATTTCAAGCGATCATAACACGACAAATTCTTGGCGTAAGTACGTTAGACCAGTTCTGAAATCCTGTCGTTGTCTTCGTTTAAACTAGATATAGCACATATCATTTGGGAAATATTCCCAAAAAATGTTAAATGTCCGCTTGAGCGCCCCAAATATCACGTTTTGGTTAACTCCAAACGATCATAACCAGATAAATACTTGGACTTAGGACAAACACTAATTCTGAGAGTCTGGCACTGCTTACTTTCAGATTCGATGTAGCATATATCACTTAGGAAACGTTCCAAAAAACGCCAAACGTCCGCTTTTGAGCCAACTCTATATTGGTTCCAAGAAGAGGAAGACATTTTTAAGAAGAGATAATTGCTTTATTTTAGAGATTATTCGTTTCAGTGCACCCCCTGTCTGAAGTTGTTTAGTAAATCATATAAACTTCAATAATTCAAATTTGGTTTGAAAAAAAAATAGTCAAATTTTAAACAATTTAGATGTCACGACAAGGCTTAAAATTTTAGGTGGTATCAATTTGTTTTATTCAAGTTATTCGATATATTCCTAAAAAAATGCCGTCTGAAATTATTAGGCAAAACCAAATAATCACATTTTGCTTCAATAAAATGCTAATAAAAATCATCCAAAATTGATCAACACTTATAATAGAACAAATAACAAACAATCTATTATGCATTGATTTTGTTATATTTTTTTGACTTCCGCAAGTTCAATTTCCGACATAGTAGTTTTAATTGGTTCTCATAGGCCTGTTTTGCTGTTATATTGTTTGCTACCTCCATGTTATTTCATCTTTGTTACGGTTTTTTGGGTATATATGTATATATGTAACTAGTGAGCGAGTCAGAATGACTTATTTCCCTTTATAGTCTACCAAAAG